GGGGCAATTTTAAAATGCCGCCCGCCAGCATTTTAAGATCGCCCCAGACAGCGGAGAAGTCCTCCGCTGTCCCGGGGTTTTTTAAAATGCTGGGGGTGGGAAGAAAAGCCCTTGTCCCCCCCCCCCGCCTTCAGAAGAGGTCGGGTCTGAAGGCGGTTTCCATAGGAACGCATTAATTGATTTTCAATGCATTCCTATGGGAAACCGTGCATCGCAAGACGAAAAACTCGCAAGACGAAGAGACTTGCGGAACGAATTAATTTCGTCTTGCGAGGCACCACTGTATTTTGTTGCATGGGAAGTATTTTTTCTCCCCCAGTTAGTACCTGCACTGCTATTCAGAGTGGTGCAAGAAATATGGTTGCAGGAATGTCAAGTGTACCTACTGGACAATGTAGTATCACCACTGATAAGCAATAACCACCCCTACCCCTTCAATGTCTATGTAATTTGGGATTCATTTATTTTTCTAATTTGAATGTTAACTTTTAAAATATCCACAGTGGTTGTCTAGCACCCAAATACCCTAGAGCAGCGTTGCAGAACTCATCTAGTGCAAAGTTTCTGTTTGTTTGTTTTTAAAGGTCAAAATGGTGCAACATTACGCTCCCCTTCCAGAATTTGCTCATGTCCTTAGTCCAATAGACAGTGGAACTGTTGAAGCATCTAATAGCTCAGCGGGAGGGAGACAGAGATACAAACAACAACATGTCTTTACCCCACTTGCAACAATGCTATTTCTCAACAATTGCATAGGGATGAGATACTGAGGCACTAGACCTAGACTGGTTCTTTTATAATCATATCAGTAAAATATTGAGCAGTATTCAACTAATCCATGCCAGCAGCAAAAGGATTTCCACTTGCACAATCCCTTTCCTATCCCAGCCACCCTCCCCAAATCTGCTGCAGAGGGGTAGCGGAATATTCATGTATAATTATGTTGTATTCCACCCATTGTGTGGAGAAGTTATAAGAAGTCACACTGACTTCACTGGAAACAATCGTAAGTGGAGACTTCAGGAAGGTAGCTACAAAAAGAAGACGCTGATTAATAAAAACCACGGTATTTAAGCAGATCTCTGTTAAGAAGAGATTTTATTCCAACCAAGGAATGAAATCAATGAAACAGTCTGTTACACGTTGCTAAATTGACATGGAAATGTTTAGCCAAATTGAGGTCATTATGGAAATAACGACACGCTGAAATGGACCAGGACTAAGCGATCCTTATTCATTACTTCTATGTTTCTAAAGTTCCCAGCATTTCCCTATAATGCTATATTGTTTTAGAAAAATAAGACACTTTGTGTAAGAGATGATCCGTACGTCTATTATTTTCTTGTGAGAAGTCTGAAGGAGCTGAATGGTGACTATCAAACAAACAAATCCCAAATAAAAATGTTACTACCATAAATTCTTACCAATATGGAATTATCTACTAGTACAACACAATGCTCAATTCAACAGGATTCTAGCTGAAGATGTAAACACTCCGAGAAACAGAAATGGATCATTGGTTCCAGCTTAAATGAAAATTGAATACCACTGTTTTTCATTGTACAGTTTGTGTACCACATTGGACAATTAATAGGAATGTGGCATGAACCAAATATGTACATAATTGAGACAATAGTTCTATTCACCTATCATGAAAATTGTGTTGAATGAACACACTGTGGGGAAACAGGAAAGCTGGCAGCTCGCTTCCATTAACTGGAACAGGATATAAAGGTGCATACATGTAAAAAGCCAAATGAAGGCAGTTCTGATCACCCGTGATCAATATCTAGCAAAACTAAGGAAACAGCAAGAAACACCAGTTATCAGGCTTTGCAACAGTTATGCAGTGGACTAGGTCTGAAGAGAATGCTTTGGATCTATACAGTTTGCCCAGTGTGTATGTAATGTATGGAAAGAACAAAATTGCACATATCTTCAGGAATTCTTGGCATATGAGACAACACATATCACTTCAGGAATGCCTAGCTAAGTAACGCTCTCCAGGGCTACTTTGGTCTTCTGGCACACTAAAGTAAAGGGGATGCAAGCAGGCCTGAGCTTCTACTGGACTGTGAGAACTAGCTTTTGTCATGCCAGGGGTTCTATATAGCATGCAAGGGTCTCACAGTCTCTCTCCCTTTCTTTTCCCCTGGATGCACTGGGAATTAGTTAATGCTGTGCATTTATTCAATCAGCAACATCTGCAAAAAGGGTAAAGGATAATGCCAATCACCCTCCAGGGTCTACTCCAGAGGTGACAAGGCCTCTTTGCAAAGGCTGTGTTCTTTGGCCCCAACAGTGCTGAACATGTCAATTTCCAGGATGTTGCTGAACAGAGATGGCAGCTGTGGGCAGTCAATAAGCCTATTAAATTCTTGTTTTTAAGATGCAACAATGGTGGTAAACCTTCCCATGACACTGGGGCCTTGGCAGCTGCCCAGGGTTTTCAGGTATTGATGCTGGGCATGCTGCCTTGGTAAAAATCCATATCAGAGAAGGTCAGTTATACAGTGGTAGCTGTTTGGGGCTAGTTTACAGCAGTCTTTGCTATCAGCACTTTACATACTGATTGCCAGCACTGCCCAAAGGAAATAATGTTTTGTTAACATTTCATATGGTTGTTATGGTCAATCTAAAAAGCTTAATGTTAACGAAGTCCAATAATGTAGGATGCGTTTTGTTAGGGACTTACTCTCATGGAAGTTTATGTGACAAGTCACGCCATAGGTGTCCAATATAAAATTTATTTTCCCCTTGTGGTTCTTTTTTTTAGCTATCTGTGCACATGCACTAAGAGTATTGCACAATACAACAGCACAGCACATCATTTATTTATTTCTCTTTTTTAAAAAAAACAAAACTTAACAGTTAATTTAAAGCACTGTGCCTGTGTTATAAAAGGTAAAGGTAAAGGTACCCCTGCCCGTACGGGCCAGTCTTGACAGACTCTAGAGTTGTGTGCTCATCTCACTCTAGAGGCTGGGAGCCAGCGCTGTCCGCAGACACTTCCGGGTCACGTGGCCAGTGTGACGAAGCTACTCTGGCGAGCCAGAGCCGCACACGAAAACGCCGTTTACCTTCCCACTAGTAAGCGGTCCCTATTTATCTACTTGCACCCGGAGGTGCTTTCGAACTGCTAGGTTGGCAGGCGCTGGGACCGAGCAGCGGAAGCACACCCCGCCGCGGAGATTCGAACCGCCGACCATGCGATCGGCAAGTCCTAGGTGCTGAGGTTTTACCCACAGCACCACCCGCGTCCCTAATGTGCCTGTGTTATAGAATGATCTTATTACAAAGCCAGCCGCATATGTACCTGACTTGATATATGAATATTTGAGAATGTTGGCATGGCTGAAATTTCCCACTGTGTCTTAGGAACAGAGCCAATCATAAGCCCAGGTCTTTGGGCGCTTGTTCCAACACTACGGTTTAGTTTGCAACACAGAGTGCTTTACATTTGTGTCTGCACCTTGCTAGTTTTGATTTAAGTTGGCTTCTGTGCAATGGAAGCCAACAGGGTTTTATATTATAGTCTCTCGTGTTTTAGTTTTGTGCCATTCTTAGTGCAATCCAGAGAAAGTTTTGTTTCAACTCTTTCTCAAGAGTGTTAGGAAACTATTTTCTTCTTTGGCTAGGCCTTGGTGTGTTTGAACAGAAAATGCTTTGTAAATTTTATAAACAAAAAGAATTTAAGAACATACTAATTTTACTTCACTGTTTCCTGTAAGACAAAACTAAAGACCAAATCCAGAGGAAAAACAGAGGGGAAATATCTGAAAAGGTGCTGAAGAAAACAGGGGTATATGTTTTTTAATTGCCCAATGCAGTTTGAACTTGCCATGCTCTCCTAAGTCTGTTCTCGTTCCCCCTTCGGAAAACTCTTTTTATGACAAAACAGATAATTTTACAAATTAAAGTCACCAAGCAAACTTTTAATGCGTACTTCATACTGCTGGATAGCTGCCAAAACAATGGCAATTATTTGACAATTATTCTTGATATTGGCATGTTTGTGTATATTATTGCCCAATCCTTAAAGAGATTTATCCCGTATCTTAAGGAAAGCAGCAGCCAAAACAACAGTGAGGGAATAAGACTTGTTAGTATGGTCTTTCTGCTGCACAAAAACTTCATTTCACCCCACCACACATCTCTTTTCCAAAGTTATGTCAACAGCGTCTCCTTTGAGTGGCCCAGGGGCAGCCAACATGGCACCCTCCAGAAGTTGTTGAGCTACAACTCCCATCAGCCCCAGCCAGCATGGACAATGGCCAGGAATTATGGGAACTGTAGTCCAGAAATACAGTGGTACCTCGGGTTAAGTACTTAATTCGTTCTGGAGGTCCGTTCTTAACCTGAAACTGTTCTTAACCTGAAGCACCGCTTTAGCTAATGGGGCCTCCTGCTGCTGCCGCGCCGCCGGAGCACAATTTCTGCTCTTATCCTGAAGCAACGTTCTTAACCTGAAGCACTATTTCTGGGTTAGCGGAGTGTGTAACCTGAAGCGTATGTAACCTGAAGCGTATGTAACCCAAGGTATCACTGTATTTCAAAGGCACCAAGCTGATTACCCCTGGAACAGATCACTATAAAGAGCAATCGTGTCAGCTCTGCAAAGTAACAGTTTACATTTGACACATATTCTATGCCTTGCTGTTTCTTATGCAAAGCCTTGAAAGGGACTCTTAGGAATTCTGTTTAACATATTTGTGGAAACGAGATAATGAACATTCCACCAAAGTCAAGAACATTACCCCAATAAGGCAAAGTGGTGTGCTTGGATAACAGTGCAGAGTTTTTCATTTGTTTTATTTCAGTTTGCATGCTTTTTGACAAGATGGTTTCCTGTATCTTGTTTTCAGTTGCTGTTGTGATGGATCAATGCTATTTTCACAATAGGTACTTAAAAGTTGCTTTGTTTTTAATTTCCTACAGAGGCAATTCAACTGAAAATAGTATCTATCATGCTGACATAAAGGAAACTAAGAGTACACTACCTCATCAAGGCACTGAAAGGCAGGACATGTGTGCACGTCAATGGAACCTTCATCCCGAATATTAACTGTTGGAGCTGTGGCATAAATAGGATCTTCAGGATCCTCTGGTTCCAATTCTGGTTCAGATTGTTCTTCTGACTCACTGGAAACATACTCTTCTTCTTCTTCTTCAGAATCATCCCTTTTCCAAACATCTGCAAAAAGTACCAAAATCCACATATCAAATTTTGATCGTTATGCAAAATAAATTAGAAGCATAGCTGTCAACTTACAGATTTGAAAATAAGAGACCAGCAGCCTCAAAAATAAGGGATCAGCAGCCAAAATAAGGGATCAACAATTACTTTTATAAAATACATATTTTGTTGCGTGCAAATGGCTTTGGATAACTATTAGGTCCATAAATTACCATATAGCATATATTCAACACAAAAAAACAGCAACAATTTGTTGTTGACAAAGCAAGCTGGACATATCAAGGGCCCCATTACCTTCAGTAACTTATTTAAGAGACATCATTAATAAGGGACAGCAGCAGGACATGGCGCTGGAATAAGGGACTGTCCTGCCAAATAAGGGACGCTTGACAGCTATGATTAGAAGATGAGAGCTGGAGATGAATCATGGGATGAGGTTACACATATCAATAATGGGGAACTCCAGAAGAAAGCGGAGGGGAAAGGGTGAGGGATAGCTGAATACAGTCAATATCTGTGCATAGCTGGGAAAGTTTTGTTAATGAATTAACAACTGAAATGTTTTGACTGTGCACTAGTAATACTAATAAAAGCAATAATTAGGAAAACAAGGAATAACTCTACAAAGTGTCTGTCTTCAAAGACAGTCCTCAGAAGTATTCATAGACCGCCATAGTGAAGTCACTAACCCACTTCCCTATCCACAACATCAAGGAATATCAATGCAGTTAGATACATCCTTATAAATATTGCCATATGCAAGTCTAGTGCTGACCCAATTCAAGAAATCAAGGCAGATCTTAAACTCCCAGTACCTTCCAGTTTTCAGGGATCAGGACTATGTTATGTGAAATCTACAATGCATCACACACTAAATAATTTGTGTTAGCCAATAACTAGGTGGCATAGTCATTACCTTCAGAGCTCATTTTCCTTGCCTAAGCAATTGCAGTCACTAGGACTGTGGAGTTCCAAACTGATCTGAAATTAAATCAAAGAATTTATCATTATACTTTTCCAAGTATACTTAAATTGGAATGCAGATGAATCAAAGCAGAATACATTAGTTGATTTACAAAGCATACCACAGCAATTTAGCATTAGGATGCAATCTTGCTACATCTGTGTGTGTTTTCTTTTTCAAAGAACACCACGGTCTATGGGTCAGCAAAATCTTTGAAGGCTACAAGTGTAAGCTGGCCTCTAGTGCTATTTGGATTTTCTTCAAGGACATTCTGCTTTACAGAGAAATTTCAGCAGCTGCATTTGCTCAGGAATTCAAAAAACACAAAATAAAATCTAACCCTGATGATGCCTCCTACAGAAATCAAAATATTATGTAATCAGCTGCAATCAGCATAAATTTAATATATTACATAAACATGGGCATATAGTAATCAAAAAAAGATTTGAATACACATAATATCAGTTATAGTTACTAAATATTTATTTCAATTGTACCTCTATGGACATGTCGGTAAGCTTCATAGGTTCATGAAAAGATTTGTATCAAAACACACCCCATGCAAAAAGCAAGTACAGTGGTGCCTCGCAAGATGAAATTAATTCGTTCTGCGAGTTTTGTCGTCTTGCGATTTTTTTCGTCTTGCGAAGCACGGTGTCAGGAAAGTTTCGGAAAAGCTTCAAAAATCACCAAAGTCTTTAAAAACCTCAAAAAAGGCTACCACACTGCGTTCTATGAGTTGCTCCTCGAAATCAAGTCGCAACTGTATTAACGGTGTTAAAAAAAAGGAAACAAACTTGCAAGACGTTTCCGTCTTGCGAAGCAAGCCCATAGGGAAAATCGTCTTGCGAAGCAGCTCAAAAAACAAAAAACCCTTTCGTCTAGCGAGTTTTTTGTCTTGCGAGGCATTCGTCTTGCGAGGTACCACTGTACAAACTTAGGGTTGTCTATTGAACATTTGGGGCAGTAGCCAACAAAGTAGTTCCATTAGTGGAAGGATTTCTGTTTGTGCAGCAGAACTTTGCCTCCTTCTCTCCCCACGTGCACCCCATACTTTCTCCAAATCTGCTCCACTGCATTGAGGAGGGAAACCCAAAACAGATTTAGGGGGCACACAGGGCAAGAAGATAGTGGGGAAGTTCAATTGTACAAAGAGAATTGTTGCGCCAACCCAACTTTGTTGGATACCACCCTTCATGTCCAAGGTGTGGGTTCAATGCATGGCACGGGCAGCATGGGATTGGGGAATGCCTGGATAAGAAAATGTCCTCCCATAACCTGCACAAAAAAGTATAATTAATTTATTCAAAAGCAAATTTTATTTATCACTTAACTGGAATAAATTTGAAGACCCTTTTTTTCAACTGAACAATGTATTTTAAACATTCAACGGCAATAAGAAGAATACATTTCATTTTCAATTAATTCACATTACATGTTAATTGCCATACACCTTCATCATTTTACATAATATGAATATATTATTTCTGCAAATTCCCCACATCTAACCCTGCAACCACCTCCCCTTATAACCAAATGCCCGTGTGACTTCCTTTACCCACAAGTGATATCCAACTTATTACTTAATAGAAACCTCTAACATTGTGTTCATTTTTATTCATTACAATAGTCATTCATCTATTAAAAAGAGAAAAAAAGAGAGGAAAGCATAACTTCTTAACTTAATGGGTTCAGTCTATACTTATCCAGGGATTTCTAATAGAATGATTTTGTACAGTATATTCTTCAACACATTTCCATTCCTTTCTTAATTTTTGTTTTGATTGCAATCTGATTGATGCTGTCATCTTGGCTAGTTCAATATATTCACAAAATTTAATTTGCCACTCTGAGATTGAAGGAGTCTCCTCACTCTTCCAATTTTTGGCCACCAGTATTATAGCGGCCACTGTAGCATACAAAAAAACTCTAAACTTATCCTTGGGAATGTCTTCTGAGACTAGTCCAAGAAGAAATGCCTCAGATCTTTTTTGGGAAGGTTATTTTAAAGATTTTTTTTCAATTCATCGTAAATATTGTTCCAGAAGGACATAATCTTGACACAATTCCACCAAATGTGGTATAACGAGCCTTCAACCTTTTTACATCTCCAGCATAGATTTGAAGGTAATTTATAATTTTTTGCTAATTTAACTGGGGTCATGTACCACCTATAACACACCTTCACGATATTTTCATTACCGTATTTTTCGCACCATAGGACGCACTTTTTCCCTCCTAAAAAGCAAGGGAAAATGTGTGTGCGTCCTATGGAGCGAATGCAGGCTTTCGCTGAAGCCTGGAGAGTGAGAGGGGTCGGTGCGCACCGACCCCTCTCGCTCTCCAGGCTTCAGGAAGCTATCCGCTAGCCGCGGCTAGCGGAGCGCTGCATTAATCCCGAAGCTTGGGCGCGCGGAGCTCAGCGCGCCCCAAGCTTCTGGGTGCCGGCAAGGTCTCGCTAGCCCTGGGAGAGCCCCGCGACGTTGCGTGGCTCTCCCAGGGCTAGCGAAGCGCCGCGCTAATCCCGAAGCTTGGGGCGCGCGGAGCTCAGCGCGCCCCAAGCTTCTGGGTGCCGGCAAGGTCTCGCTAGCCCTGGGAGAGCCCCGCGACGTTGCGTGGCTCTCCCAGGGCTAGCGAAGTGCCGCGCTAATCCCGAAGCTTGGGGCTTCGGGATTAGCGCTCCGCTCAGCCTGCTTCCCGGAGCGCCGGGCGCCCTGAAAGCAGAGCTCCAGGCGCTTCGGGAACACATCCGCAGCATGGGGAGCCTTGCAGGAATTCCCCACAGGGCTCCCCACGCTGCGGATAGCAGCCTGCTGCCTGGCGGGTGGGGCGCCCTGAAGCAGAGCGCCCCTCGTGCCAGGCAGACATCCGCAGCGTGGGGAGGCTTGCAGGAGTTCCCGACAAGGCTCCCCACGCTGCGGATAGCAGCCTGCTGCCTGGCGGGTGGGGCGCCCTGAAGCAGAGCGCCCCTCGCGCCAGGCAGACATCCGCAGAGTGGGGAGGCTTGCAGGAGTTCCCGACAAGGCTCCCCACGCTGCGGATAGCAGCCTGCTGCCTGGCGGGTGGGGCGCCCTGAAGCAGAGCGCCCCTCGCGCCAGGCAGACATCCGCAGAGTGGGGAGGCTTGCAGGAGTTCCCGACAAGGCTCCCCACGCTGCGGATAGCAGCCTGCTGCCTGGCGGGTGGGGCGCCCTGAAGCAGAGCGCCCCTCGCGCCAGGCAGACATCCGCAGAGTGGGGAGGCTTGCAGGAGTTCCCGACAAGGCTCCCCACGCTGCGGATAGCAGCCTGCTGCCTGGCGGGTGGGGCGCCCTGAAGCAGAGCGCCCCTCGCGCCAGGCAGACATCCGCAGAGTGGGGAGGCTTGCAGGAGTTCCCCACAGGGCTCCCCACGCTGCGGATAGCAGCCTGCTGCCTGGCGGGTGGGGCGCCCTGAAGCAGAGCTCCCCGCCCGCCGGACAGACATCGGCCAGCCCCACAAGCTTGGGGGACAGCAGGGAGGCGCAGCGCCACTATCCCGCTGTTCCTCGACCTGGTTCGGTTTCCCTGACCTGCTTTTGGGGGGGAAATAAAGGGGAAAATTTTTTCCTTTATTTCCCCCCCCAAAAAACTAGGTGCGTCCAATGGTCCGGTGCGTCCAATCGTGCGAAAAATACGGTAATAAAAATTAAAAAGAAGAAGAAGAATACATTTCATAGGCCTTAGGACATTCTTTTTTTCCTTTCTCTTTGATCTAATTGTAGAAATGCCAAAATAAAACTGACTACTTTCCATTTTAAAAAAACCTTTGTTTTATCTTACATGCCAACCCTCTTCTGCCGTTATGTAAAAGGAAGTCCCTTTACACACTTTAGTGGGTTTGAGAGCAGAATGATAGTTTCAGCTGGGGAGGGTTAGCATTCTGCTTGTCATTTCATTGGGGCGGGGAGCCTGTTTATGAACTCAACAGGCATCCCAGGTTACGCATTTCAGCCTGCAATTGATGCCTAGCAATATTCTGTAACCATTTCATAGAAATCTAGTTATGTTATCAAATATTGTGAGGTGATATGCTACTGGTGAAGCAAGAGTAACCAATGAAGGCCTTAAGTTTGAAAAACGCATTATATTGTAGCCAGTATAGTAAGTTGCAGCGTGTGCTAGGTTGCAGTCCTATTTTATACTCGGTTACTGTATTTATTAGGGACGCGGGTGGCGCTGTGGGTAAAAGCCTCAGTGCCTAGGACTTGCCGATCGAAAGGTCGGCGGTTCAAATCCCCGCGGCGGGGTGCGCTCCCGTCGTTCGGTCCCAGCGCCTGCCAACGTAGCAGTTCGAAAGCACCCCCGGGTGCAAGTAGATAAATAGGGACCGCTTACCAGCGGGAAGGTAAACGGCGTTCCGTGTGCTGCGCTGGCTCGCCAGATGCAGCTTGTCACGCTGGCCACGTGACCCGGAAGTGTCTGCGGACAGCGCTGGCTCCCGGCCTATAGAGTGAGATGAGCGCACAACCCTAGAGTCTGGCAAGACTGGCCCGTACGGGCAGGGGTACCTTTACCTTTAAAGTATGCCCATCTTACAGTAAAGCAGCTTCCTCATCACATTCTAGGTATACAGTATTTGTAATTCATATCTGGACAAAAAGTTAAGTACTTTTCATATCATAAGTATACCAAACAGAATTTTATATGCTCATTGCTAAGTAAGAACATACCGACACCCACTACAAACTACTTTTATAATCATCCCACCACTCTGGCAACTCTCAGAACTATTCTGCGATGGGGAAGGGATTCTGTAGCAGAAATGTTGCCCGACTACAAAGTCTACAGGCCTATATTAGTCTACTCAGAAGTAAGTCCTGCTGCAATTTAAGTTGCAGTTGTATGCATTGTTACTTGGGAGCACATTTCATTGAACTGAATGGACCTTGCTTTTGAGTAGACACACACAGGATTGAGCTATTGAAGTAACAAATAACATTTAGGTTAGATATCTAACTATTGCATATATTTCATTTTTTTCTGGAAAAACATCTGGAAGATGTTGCATCTCTATATTTGAATAGTAATGATGAATATATTTTTTTTACTTCATTAATATATCGTTCCTCCTGGTTCAGCAGTCGTAATCTGTGAGTGAAAAAGGGTTTTAAAATGTCCTTCTGAATGTGAGCCCTAGAGGGTGCCACATGGATGAAAAGTTCTGAGTTTAGTAATCTGAACTAGGTTTTAAAAATAAATATAAATCCATCCTACCCTCAGGACCACAAAGAGCATGCAGTGATTTGACAGTGTTGCTTATTAAAAGGAGTCAAATTATGCCACCTCCTACACACATACACAAAATGTTACCAAAATAGCTGGAAACTGAAAATGGTGATGGGGAGTGTTGAACTTTATGGAGCTCATGTTACATTTTTAAGCTTTATGTTTAGAAACTCAACTACAGAAAAATGCAAATGAATCACGACACTTTTCCATACTATTAATGGAAATTGTACTGTTGTCTTCTTTCTTCTCAAATTGTAGATCCTTAAGTTCAGCCTGACTTTTCATAAAAGCCTGCTATAATTCTTCATCTTTTCTGAAATGGTTGCCAAAGAAAGTAAAAAAAAACCACCTCAGGTTCCTCTAAATATTTAATGAAACATCACTCTCATACTGAAAGCAAAATAATGCTAGATTCCAAACACACTATATTAAATAAAGATGTTCTTTTCTTTTTTAGGAACTTAACCTTGAATTAAAACCATGCCTCCAAGTTATTTACATATGAAAAGAAAGGGAAGGTTGGAGCAGCCTAAACCTGATTTCGCTGGTAAGGTTTCTAATTTGCTTCAAATAATTGTGCAAGAAGTATTCAGTACAATGAATCTGAAAGTCACAAAAACTTAAAAGGAACTGGTGTTGAACAAAAGTGTTGACAGTCTAATTTAGTCTTCTTTTTCCAGCAGCAGCTAGGAGGGTCTTCTGGGAAGTACAAGGGGGTTTGGAGGTGATAGCCCCTCCTGTTGTTTGTCCCAGCATCTTCCCATCTCCATCAGCATGTAAACGATGTTTTCATGCGCTCTGGTTTCCGTCAGAAGCGCCAGAAGTGGTCTAGTCCTGCTGGCCACATGACCCGGAAAGCTGTCTGTGGACAAACGCCGGCTCCCTCGGCCTGAAAGTGAGATGAGCACCGCAACCCCATAGTTGCCTTTGACTGGACTTAACCGTCCAGGGGCCCTTTACCTTTTTAAACCTTTTATTACCTATGAACATGGAGGTTTCATTTACCTATACAGTGGTACCTCACAAGACGAATGCCTCGCAAGACAAAAAACTCGCTAGACGAAAGGGTTTTTTGTTTTTTGAGCTGCTTCGCAAGACGGAAACGTCTTGCAAGTTTGTTTCCTTTTTCTTAACACCGTTAATACAGTTGCGACTTGACTTCGAGGAGCAACTCATGGAACGCGGTGTGGTAGCCTTTTTTGAGGTTTTTAAAGACTTTGGTGATTTTTGAAGCTTTTCCAAAACTTTCCCGACACCGTGCTTCGCAAGACGAAAAAAATCGCAAGACGACAAAACTCGCGGAACGAATTAATTTCGTCTTGCGAGGCACCACTGTAATAACCAATACAGGTTAAGTCAATTCCTTGTTACTGGCCCCAAATTCTGGAACATAAAGGAAGATTGTATGCCTGTAAGATTGGAGTACACACTTACACCTGCCTGGCTGATGTGATGGAGTAACACAAAGAAAAATTAGGAAGAAATTACACTCCATTTCCTGTTCAAGCATGCTTGCATTCCCTGGTAGCAACTAAAGTGTGCTTACTAAGAAAATAGAAACTGGACACAACTACATCAATGAAACAACAGTTCAAACAAATGAGGAGACATGCAGTACACTCCTATACAAAGTAAAGGTAAAGGGATCCCTGACCATTAGGTCCAGTCGTGGACGACTCTGGGGTTGAACGCTCATCTCGCTTTACTGGCTGAGGGAGCCGGTGTTTGTCCACAGACAGCTTCCGGGTCATGTGGCCAGCGTGACTAAGCCACTTCTGGCGAAACAAAACAGCGAACGGAAACACCGTTTACCTTCCCGCCAGAGCAGTACCTATTTATTTACTTGCACTTTTTTGCGTGCTTTTGAACGGCTAGGTTGGCAGGAGCTGGGACCGAACAACGGAAGCTCACCCCATTGCGGGGATTCGAACTGCTGACCTTCTGATCGGCAAGCCCTAGGCTCTGTGGTTTACAGTTACACCACAGTGCCACCCACGTCCTATATAAAGTAAGCCACACTATATTCAGTGAGACTTACTCCAAGATAATAGAACTTCATATGACAATGCAAAAGCCTTCAAATGACAATGCAAAAGCTCAACTACTAGTATCGGAAAGCAGTGGCGTAGCGTGGGTTGTCAGCACCCAGGGCAAGGCAAGTAATTTGCGCCCCCTAACCCGTGGATTTGCACTCCCTAACCCGTGGATTTGCGCCCCTTAACCTGTGGATTTGCCCTAACCCCAGATGTTGCGCCCGGTGTGGCCGGCCCCCCCTGCACCCCCCACGCTACGCCACTGTCGGAAAGCAAGGGGAATAGATTGAACACACTTTATTTGCAACCCAAGATAGAAATATTTCTTACTCTCATAAACAGAGAGAACACATTAGGGTGGCCAGATGAAAAAGAGGCCAGGGCTCTTGCACCTTTAAAAGTTGTGTAGGAGAGGAAATTGAATTGGGTGTCATTTGTCCCTTTTCCCATCTGGCCACCCAACTGCAAGTGCAGTCTTTGAGAAACCCTTTCAGTCAATTCCTAGGGGCTGAGGCTCCTTCGCCCCCCCCCAATAAAATATTTGAGGGGTGTGTGCCCCCCAAGTTGATGAGCATTGCCATTCAAATGGGGCATGTGTGTGTGCTGCATCTTGTGGGGCAGGGCTTACCTGGGCCACCCCCAGTATTTTATTCAAGCTGCCCCCCCTTGGATGGGGGTGGCCATAGGTATACTCAGGGTGGTCTATATGCGGCTCCCAGCTAGTTACCTGTTCAGCCCCCGCCCCCCCCAGGCAGGTTTAGCTTCTCCGAGGTTTGCTCGCCTCCTCCAGACCCCCCCCCCCGGGAGGAAGCGCTTTGGGAAGGAGGGGGATGAGGTGGAACTCGGTTCTCTGGGCTGCTTGTGCCCTTGAAAGACATTCGGGGGGGGTGAATAAAGTTCCAGACGCCATTGCTCCGCTTCCTTCTCCCGCGTCATTGCACTGAAGGGGGTCGGTCTAGATGACCCTCGGGGGTCCCTTCCATCTCTTCCAATCCCACGACTCCTCCCCTCGCGCCCAGAGCAGGCTTCCTTCCCTCCTTTTCGAACCAGCTCGCGCCTCCTCCTTTACCTTCCCCGCGCGGCCCCGCTCCCTCCGGGGAAACCTCGACGCCGCCGCCGGAGAGGCTGGAGCCCCGTCAGCGCCCCGCGTTGCCATGGAGACCGACTCTCCTCTTCCAAGTCCCGCCCTCCGCGCTTCCTATTGGCTAGCCGCAAGGTTCCATCCTGTCCTGAGGGAGGCAGGGAGACATCCGCCTCCCCCAGCCGCTCACGGGCCAAAGCTTCCCCGGGAGGCGCCGCTCAGCTTCCCGGGACTTGTAGTTCGGCCTTCAGGCTCCTTCATCGCGCCGACGTCAGCAGGGAACCACAATTCCCAGCAGCCACCTCGGCGCCACTGGACTGGCCAATCGCTGCTAGTACAGCTCACCGGTTCTGCGCTTGTTGTTTTGAAACTTCCAGGATGGGTTTGTAAGTGGGCAGAGGAGGGAACCCCTAATGCAGATGCCTCTGCCCTGAAGGGTCTTGGGGAGGGAGGGAGGGAGGGAGGGAGGGGGGTGCCCCACGCCCAGCCCAGAGCCTGGAGCCCAACTTCTCCCCTTGCACTTTGATTTTTTTCTTTGCAGGGCTGGGTTGTTGCGTGTCAGAAGGACCCACTGAAGCAGCCTCAAGGCGGTGCAGGATGCGGCCTCTGCCCCCAAGAGGCTGGTGCACGGCAGCGAGGACAGTGGCCGGGAGCTGGCATCGGCTGTTGAAGGGCGGAGGCGTCACTGGGCGAAGGTCGTGGGCTGGCAGCTGCCAGCAGCCTCGCTGGTTTGCTGCCAGTCCTTGTCGCTGCAGCAAGTCCGAAGCGAGCAAGCGGAAGGGCAGCAAGCCTCTCAAGGAGTGGACTCTGGTTGTGGGCCCCTATGGCCTCCTGAAGGCACGGCTCCCTTGCCACGTCTCTGTGCACCCTCTGGACCCACACAAGTACCCCCAAGCGGACAGGGTGTTCGTGACGGTGCGTGGGGCGACCGCTGGCCCCACGCAGGGTGCAGATTTGGATAGTTTGCATGTGAAGTATGATGAGGTGCGAAAGGAGATTACGATAATCTCGGAAGACATGGACGGTGCAGCCTCTGTGGACGTGAGGACCCCCGTAAAATTTGGTATGTGCAGCAACTGGTCAAAAAGAGGCACTGCTGTGACATTTAACTGAAGTGCCCCATGCTCTGTGGTGAGCAGTTAGGATGGCCATTTCTTCAGCTGTGAATTTCAGTTTGGCATGTCATAGTAGATAATGTGGCCCATTCAAGTTGCTACTTTCCAGCTTTTGCAGATACAGTGGTACCTCGGGTTAAGAACTTAATTCGTTCCGGAGGTCCCTTCTTAACCTGAAACTGTTCTTAACCTGAGGTACCACTTTAGCTAATGGGGCCTCCTGCTGCCACCATGCGATTTCTGTTCTCATCCTGAAGCAAAGTTCTTAACCCGAGGTACTATTTCTGGGTTAGCGGAGTCTGTAACCTGAAGCGTATGTAACCCGAGGTACCACTGTAAGAGGCCCAATGTTGCTATTGACAGGAGTCATAATGTTCACTACTGCAGCTCAAAAGCTTCTGCTGCAAGGCCAGAGTTCAGGAAGTTGCCTTGGCAAAATTAGGAACACTGTCTAAATCCCAGCTGTTTAGTCAGCTCAGCTTGTCTCTTGCCTGCTACTATCACCAGGCCAAACCCAGAAAGCATCTTTTCCTTTCTTTGGCAGTTATTATGGTGAAGTCACTTGGTGGGAAACTTGCATTCCAATCCTGCCTTTCGCAAAGCTCAACATGTAACCTTGGGCCAGTCACAGTTTTTATTAGTCTCACAGGTTTATTGTCAATAAAATAATTAGATAAGCTCCATATATGCTGTCCTTGGAGGAAGAGTAGTGTACACATGTCATAACAATAATCATAACTGCTAATAATTTGGCTCACTAACCTGGGTATATTTTAAATATATTCCTTGTTCTTCCTATACATCACTGTAATATGTATTTTTTCCTTAACACTTCAGATGCTGACTAATTGTTTGTTTGTGGGACTCAGGACATACTTTGAAAGTGGGATGCTTCTTTTTTCACTCTGTTACATTGTTTTGCTAAAGGAAATAAAAATTTTCGATTGCTTGGCCTTGCATTTGTTTGTTTATCTCCAGACTTGGATATCAAGACAACAGGGAATGGCTGTGTGAAGACTGAGAAAATTGAATGTAACAGCTGCAGAATAGAGACAGAAAAGGGAACGAGCATCTTGCGGTCAATAAAGGTACCAGTATAGATACAAGAGTACAAGAGTTGTGTTTTCTATCCTCTTGTATATATTTTTTGCAAGTCTTTTCCTGGGACCTCTCCTGCAACTGCATAACAAGCAGAAATTCAGAGCTGGAACTCTTTCAGCCATGCAGATATAATTGTGAGTCCTGCAAGAATTAATTGACGTATCATTTTCCATAATAACAGCCCAGAGATGCAGGTGAAATCCTAGTTAGGGCCCATCATAACTATCTTCAAAAAAATAAGAACTGAACTCTTTTAACATGTGTACAATTCTGTTTCAGAGTCAGAAAATTGACATTCAAGCTAAAGGAGGGAAAGTTATCTGCCTGGGAACTCTTCAAGGAAATGCTGATATTCATGTGTCACAAGAAAGTGTAAGCATTTTTAAAATGTATGGACTACAATTATTTGGGTCACCTATAAAATACATTGAAGAAATACATTACAAAAATTATGGGCTTTTAAAATCTTCGTGAGAATATGTGTCTTCACTTTTTCAAGTTCTGTGACTATTGCAGGGGTTTTTTCAAACAGAGGCTCTGTGTCTTTGACAGCTGTGGGGCAGGCAAAAATTCAGCAAGTACAGTGCTCCTTTCATTGTCTCTCTGGGCTGGGAAAACTGCACCTGCTTGCGTTGTAGTTAAAGTTATAGAGCCTACATTGGATAGACCAGGGTGTGGAGTGGAAAACCTATTTGTAGAAACTAGCAGTGCCTATTGTAAAGCAAATATTATTACATTTAGCATCAAGGCCGGCCCTACTGTGAGACAGAATAAGGCAGCTACCTCAGGTGGCAGATGCTGAGGGGTGTGGAGTGGACAGAACTGTGTGTGCTCTTCATGTCCTTCTCCACAACCCTTAAGAGACCCTGTTGTCTTCAGATGCAATGGTGGAATTCCGTCGCATTCCCAGTCTTGAACTAAGGCCCCATCTGTGCCATACATTTAAAGCAGTATCATACCACTGTAAACGGTAATGGCTTTCCCTTCAAAATCCTGGAAATTTTAGTTTGAGGGTGCTGAGAGCTGTAAGGAGGCCCTTATTCCCCTCACAGAACTGCAGTTCTCAGAGTCGTTTAACAATCCTTCTTCCCAGGAAACTCCGGGATCTTTAGTTCTGAGAGGGGAATGTTGTTGTTGTTGTTTAGTCGTTTAGTCGTGTCCGACTCTTCGTGACCCCCTGGACCAGAGCATGCCAGGCACTCCTGTCTTCCACTGCCTCCCACAGTTTGGTCAAACTCACGTTCGTAGCTTCGAGAACACTGTCCAACCATCTCATCCTTTGTCGTCCCCTTCTCCTGGTGCCCTCTATCTTTCCCAGCATGAGGGTCTTTTCCAGGGAGTCTTCTCTTCTCATGAAGCTTCAGGATCTGTCCTTCCAGTGAGCACTCAGATCTGATTTCCTGAAGAATGGAGAGGTTTGATCTTCTTGCAGTCCACGGGACTCTCAAGAGTCTCCTCCAGCACCATAATTCAAAAGCATCAATTCTTCGACAATCAGCCTTCTTTATAGTCCAGCTCTCACTTCCGTACATCACTACTGGGAAAACCATAGCTTTAACTATACGGACCTTTGTTGGCAAGGGAATAGGGGTCTCTTAAGAACTCTCAGCACCCTTAACAAACTACAATTTCCAAGGATCATTTGGGGGACTGATTAAAGTGTTATGATACTGTTTTAAATTGCGTGGTGCAGATGAGGCCAAAAATTCAACATCCAGTCTGGGCAGCTTTACTAAATGGAATGGTGTGTGTTTTTGTGCATTGGACACAATCTTTCCCTTTGCCTCAGGCAGCAAAATGTCTTGGGCAAGCCCCATTTATCATACTGCAACAACAAGTTGACTCTGTGAAAAGTGATTGTGATTCCAGCAACTGAATTTGAGCTGAACGTGCTTCTATTATAGGTCTCTGAAATTAGACACATACATTATGCTGTTGCTTCCTTTTTCTCTACAAATGTCAAATTGCTTTCAGTATAACTTCTTCGGCAAGTGGAAGTTAAACCCTGCAGAGTGAATCGGCTTTTAGATTTGGATTTAATATCCCAGTCGTAGGCAAGCTATTCTCAAAATGTTGGGCCATTATTTTTAAATGGGCACATGGCTGAGATGGCATTCAATGGATGTTAATGCCCCCTAATTATCCCAAGGCAACAGAATTGTAAACACAACTGAAATTCACGTCTTCTGTGGAAATGCAGGTGAGGTGTTTAAACTTCAGTTAGTACCAGGTATTTTCCAGAAGATGGCGCCTTTGGCTTGTTTGCTTTGTTATTGGGAAGTGTTACTGTTCCTGGAGATGTGTATAATGTGACCCTGACTTGAGCAGCACCCAGGGGTAAATAAATATCTCATAGGTAGACAGCAGAGAATTTTCCCATCCATTCAAGGCCTGCAAGAAAAGAGCGATATCTCAAGTGTCCTTAGTTTATTGCTGGAATTGCTTGCAGGAATAATAATTCCAGCTAGTTCCTTGGAAATAATTTAAAGTGAATTTGTAAGAGCAGAGAGATTATTTGCGACCTCCTTTGGCTTACCTCAGCCAAGATGAATTGATCACAGAGACTAAGGCTGCAGTCCTAACTGCATTTATAAGGGAGTAAGCCATGGCTACAGGACTTTTGCTTCATCTTACTTTGTTTAGAATACAGTGGAACCTCTACTTACAACCATAATCCGTTCCAGAGGTCCGGCCATAACTAGAAACATACATAAGTAGAGGCACACTTTTCCATAGAAAGTAATGGAAAAGTGAATTGATCCGTTCTAGACAATGAAAAACACCCCCTAAAACAGCAATTTAACACGGATTTTACTTTCTAACGCAGCCATAGATCCATAAAATAAAGGCAGTAATCAATGTACTGTACTATAAAATAAGTAAGACAGTATTGTAGATGAAAAAAATTAACATTAAATTTTTTTCTTACGTGGACTGAGGGTGGGTGGGCTTATCTGGCTACAAGCTGGGGTGGGGCAAAGGTCGGTGAGGACCTGATTCACTTTGGCCAGGGTCAGTTTTTTTTCTTGCCAGGCCAGGTTCTTCTCTGGACTTTCTCAGGTTAGTTCCTCGGCAGGGTTTGGGGCTGCAGTGCGCCCTTCTGTGCCTCTTGCAGGTGGCACCTCTTCCACAGCTTCGGGGGTGGGATGGGGGGCCTCTCCCTGGCAGCAGAGGCCTCAGCGCAGCTCCGCAGCCAGCAGGGTGAGCTCCGGAAAACTGGAGGCCTCTCCCCAGCGGCGGAGGCCCCAGCGCTGCCCCACAGCCGGCCAGGCAAGCTCCAGGCTGCTGGCTAGGCTTCTGTTTGTATCTAGAGGAAAGTTTACAAGTCGAAGCACCTACGGAAGGTGGTAACTGGAATTGTGCGTAGGTAGAGCCGTACATAAGTGAAGGTTCCACTGTACACTGGGTGAAGAACTCACTGTTGTGTTAACATACAGCTGTTTTAAAAGACAGCCGGAGTTGTATTTCAGGATGTGTAATAATCTCTGATAAAGCAAGAAAGTACAATAAGTGGGGTTATTGTGGTAGCCATAAGAATCTTAAAGCATAGTATAGAAAAATACACACTTCCACTTCTGTCTGGGAGATACTAAAGTAGGGTTGCCATAATTCAGGAAGTGGAAATCAGGAAACAAAAGTGAATGGCGTGAAAAATTTCACCTATCAAACTGGAAATGTCTAGAAAATAAGAATTGGACATGATCCGTAGATAAGCTGAAACATTAACCCTGCTAGGGAGTTATATTGAAATGCTCTGGTTCGCCAGAAGTGGCTTAGTCATGCTGGCCACATGATCCAGAAAGCTGTACGCCGGCTCCCTCGGCCCGTAAAGCGAGATGACCTCCACAACCCCAGAGTCTGCAACTGGACCTAATGGCCAGGGGTCCCTTTACCTTTACCTTTACCCTTCCTCACCAGAGATATGTTCATACATGAGGAAATGTACAATACAATGACAATGTAGCTAACAGTGCCTCAATATTGTAGGAGGAAAGAGGAAGAAATTGACAAAGCATTGCATTTTGCGCAGTAACCCTTCATTGAGTGTATTCTCACCCTTTGTTTACAGACCTGATTTGTATGCTAGTGATTAACTTCACATGTTCTTTTGAATATTTTTTTTATCCAGATGAGAAACATAGAATTTATAATATACTAATTTATCTTGCAGTGACCATATAATGTTCTGTGGTGTGTGTCTCTGTGTGTAAACCCTATATATAAACCAGCAAAATCACAGCTGTAGAATTAAGCGTCAAAACTGACATGTATAACACTTATCTTCCAAGCACAATAGCAGAGCAGCCAACTTTTTGGAGGAAGAAGTTTGGCTTGCTTTCTCGAAGAGCCATTTCTGTTAGCAATCAGCCTGTATTTTATCTGCCATGTGGGCTTTTATGACAATTTTGTTCCATCGACTACAGTCATCATTATGTAGCTAGGGCTCTGTCAGCGTTTCCAGTGTAAACCAAGACTGTCAGAGGTTTGTAGCTGTGCATTACAATTCCCCTGGCAATGAAACTGGACACTTTCTACTTCAGTCACTGGGGCAAATGCTTAAAACATTGAGAGAGAGATTGGGATGAACATTTAAAAACCTGCAGATTAATTCAAATGTTTCATTTTTAATTTTAACAAATAAAATGGGGTTAACCCAAGTAGCAGCTAGAAACAAGCAGCAACTGTTTCCTGGGGCTGCCTCTCTTCACAGAGAGGCTAGCCCAGGCTTCCTCAACCTCGGCCCTCCAGATGTTTTTGGCCTACAACTCCCATGATCCCTAGCTAGCAGGACCAGTGGTCAGGGATGATGGGAATTGTAGTCTCAAAACATCTGGAGGGCCGAGGTTGAGGAAGCCTGGGCTAGCCTAAAATCCCTCTGGCATTGCAGATGTGGTTCCCCACCCAATTCTCCTTATCACATCGTACCTACTGGTGTGTGTAGCCAACTGACCAAGTGATGGAAGCGCTAAACTGCCTTGTGGACAGACAGTAATTGCATGATTTTTCAGTGCTGATGTCTGACCCCAATTATCTGGCGTACGTACACATAAGCAGGCTGACATGGGGTCAAATTGATACCCGAGTCCTGCTTAACAGTGGTTGAGAGTAAGAGATGCTGTGTTCCGCAGAGAGGTGTGATGCCTTGCTGAACATCTGGTTGAGAGTCTTATTTGTTTCGGAGGAATTGTCAGCAGCTTGACTACATCATACAGTTCTTCATTTTATAAGGCTGTGATAGATCGTGCTGAAATGCTAGAGCAGATTTTAAGCCAAATTAATACACAGCTTTAAATCAGATAGGCCTGCTGGGTCACAAAATTGCATATGAGACAGGACTGAACCGGGAAATTAAAAGCATCTGAATGTTTTATTGCAGCATAAGTCAAACCGAGCTTAGTAGAACACAATTAAATTTGATAAGGTATTAGTATCTATTTATATTCTTCGTGTTTACAATAGTTCCAATGTGACTGTAGAAACTGTTCGTTTGGTAAAACATCTTTAGACTTTTATTATCCTGGCTCTTGCTCTGGCTGCCTGCTGTATCCTTCTTCGTCTCTTAAAAAACGAAGAATTTATCAGCTGATTCCATCCACATCTGTCTTGGGCCACCATTTGATCCTGCTGGGAGACTGGTGTTAGTCTACTGACCCCTCTTCTCCGCTATTGGCAGCCTTCTACAGAGCATCAGTTTTAGGGAAACCCTAACATCACGAATGAGTGGGAGGGCTGAAATCATATGGTCATGATTTCAGATATGCTGTAGATGTTATTGTTCCTTTGCTTTTCCAGCCTTATTACACTTTTGCAACAATCAGGCATAATATATGTCTTCTTGTCAGGCACACTGACAAAACTCTGCGGTGGCCAGAGCCAAATCAAAACCAGATGGTGTGCCCAAGCGCATCCAGCAGCCTTGCAGAGTGATACTTTTGCCAGGGGTTCCTGGGATAAGCCAATGCCAGACCATTTCTTGAATATGGCCCTTGTTCTCCAGCACAAGCAAACAAGCTAGGCAGAATACCAACCAGGTTAGGAAGGCAGTCCAGGGTACAGCCATGGACTGCCAAGCTGGAAGACCAAAGACCTAAACTAACAGCTCCAGTGTTGAGGCTATTGAATTTTTGATGTAAACTGTGCTGATTTCCCAAGAGCTTGCTAATTTATTCCAGCTGCAGCCAATGAGGCAGCTGGGGCTGAGCCATTAGTTCGGGTTTCCTCAACCTCGGCCCTCCAGATGTTTTTTGAGACTACAATTCCCATCATCCCTGACCACTGGTCCTGCTAGCTAGGGATCATGGGAGTTGTAGGCCAAAAACATCTGGAGGGCCGAGGTTGAGGAAGCCTGCATTAGTTTCTTTCCTCCATTTTAGCAGCAGTTTCAATGCAAACCGCTTGTTGCTGCAGGAGCAGCAAAGCCCCTTTCTCTGCAGTTCGCAAGCACCCAAGAACCAGGTGGCTGTTGGACTCTTGGGAAGTGCTGCACCATGGACTGACAAGTAAGTGAGGCAACTCACCTGTCAGTCATCTGATACCATAGTGATGCTAAGGGGTTGGCAGGTGGGTTATCCCACCCACCTGTTGAAATTGGGCCACAGGAAAATCTGGCCTACTGGGCCAAAAATACTCCCCACCACTGCACTAGAGACAGAAATCCACACATCTGGGCCTTGTTGGTGACACTGGGCTTTAGCAATCATTAAAGCTGTACAGTGGTACCTCTGGTTACATATGCTTCAGGTTACAGACGCTTCAGGTTACAGACTCCGCTAACCCAGAAATAGTACCTCGGGTTAAGAACTTTGCTTCAGGATGAGAACAGAAATCGTCCTCTGGCAGCACGGCAGCAGCAGGAGGCCCCATTAGCTAAAGTGGTGCTTCAGGTTAAGAACAGTTTCAGGTTAAGTACTGACCTCCAGAATGAATTAAGTACTTAACCTGAGGTACCACTGTAGTTCCAGTCAAATGCTCTGCTGCAGGCAATGAGTTTTTCACTTTTTGCGACCAACTGTTACATGAACGTGGCAGACTCTTCAAAATAGTATATGTTGCCTAACCTGTTTACTTGCAGTGCCATATATCTTTTAGCCTCTTACTCTCCTTTGTATGCGTTATCCATGCCCACAACCACAGGTCTGGCCATTTGTCCCACCATCAAGGGAGTACTTCAACCTCTAATGCTAATTCAGTGTTATGAAATTTCACAGATTGTCATTCTGCAAATCAATGCACCTGTTTCTAGCTGCAAGCTTTGTCTTTCTTTGTTGACAACGTGAAGAGGACCATAGGTATCAACTGCGGTAGCCAATTATTTTTACACAGAGTATACCCATTGAAATTTATGAACATGATGAAGTTAGAGCCATTAATTTGACTGAATCTACTCTGAGTAAAATTTAGTTGACTACCATCCCAGGTTTCCACGTGGACGAGCCACATGGGGCTGTTGCAGAGAGTCAAGTCTCTCCCAAGAGATTGGGAGCCAGACACAGAATCTCACGCTGTCTTCACCCTTCCCCTCAGCTTAGGTACAACTTCACTGCTCCTCAGTCATTGGCACTGACATTATCAGGCAGTTGCTTGTATATTGTGTATTTGATGTTCCTTTGTCACCGCTTTCTGAACTTCTGTGGGTGAAATGATCTGGTAACTTCTTCTCCCTCTTGCTCTCAGTTTCCTGCTTGAACGAATAATTCAACCTTTTATAGTTAATATCTTCTATGGGCTTCTCCAGACAATCTAGTTATTGAGCATTCATCCTGATTTGCTTGCACAAGACTTACATGGTTAGATAATACTCCATCTTTATTGAACAGTTATTCTGATTTGTTTGTGGGGCAGTTATATGACAATGAACGTTCACTCTGCATTTCCTGATTTGCTTGTGGGGTGTTTTTACGTCCTCTTGTTAGTCATTTATTCATTCTAAACTTTTCAATGCATTTCCCTTTCACTTTCCAACCTGCAAAAAGTCCAGTTCTTTTTTAAAGTGGATTTGTGACAGAGTGCTTTAATTTTATGGCTACATTTACAGTCTGGGCCTGCATCCTACCTGCAAAATATAACCAATTGGACACATCCTATACCATCCCCACCTCCTGTCTATTCTGCAGATTCTAGCTAGCAGATATCTAGAGCTCTATGAACATGTGTATGTGAAAGATGTAGCTTAATATATCATTAAGATGAACTGATGTTTGTCTGTTTCTTGGCTATAATGCTGTTATATTAATTTATTCATTTCCCCCCTTTTACAGAGTGTGAATATAGAAAAGCTACAAGGGTCATCTATTCACATTTCTACCAAAAATGGCTTATTAAAAGCCAAATATCTTTATGCAGAATCTTCATTGCTCTCTTCAACAGCTGGTGACATTCTGCTGGGGAATGTTCATGGTAAGATAGCAAATTGGTCTGCAATTAGAGATACATTTTGTTTAGCAAATTCCTTTTTAAATATTTGTGATAGAAGGTCATTAATTTCACATTTGAGTTCTTTGAGAACTGTTGGGTAGATGCCAGCTAAATGCCACGATATGTCAGTTTTTATTTTTTCAATAAGGCCTGGAACTTTGTGTCTTGCCACCGCTATCTGCCTCAGTTCCTCAGACTCCCTTCCTGCAAAAGTTAGTTAAGCTAAGCAGTTGGCTCCTTACCTCTCTCGCCCTGACCTAGCCACTGTGATCCACGCGACGGTCACCTCCAGACTGGATTATTGTAACTCGCTCTATGTGGGGCTGCCCTTGAGACTGACCCAGAAACTCCAGCGGGTGCAGAATGCTGCAGCGAGACTCCTTACAAGGTCTTCGCTGCGAGATCACATTCACCCAGTGCTATACCAGCTGCACTGGCTCCCGGTGGAGTACAGGATCAGGTTTAAGGTGCTGGTTTTAACCTTTAAAGCCCTATATGGCTTAGGACCCTCGTACCTACGGGACCGCCTCTCCTGGTATGCCCCACAGAGAAACTTACGGTCTTCAAATAAAAACATCTTGAAGGTCCCAGGCCACAGAGAAGTTAGGCTGGCCTCAACGAGAGCCAGGGCTTTTTCGGCTGTGGCTCCGATGTGGTGGAACGCTCTGTCACAAGAGACCAGGGCCCTGCGGGACTTGACATCTTTCCGCAGGGCCTGCAAGACAGAGCTGTTCCACCAGGCCTTTGGCAAGGGCACAGCCTGACTCCCTCCCTCGGCAATCTTCGCGGAGCTCTGGCCCAATGGCTGCCAGTGGCTTGAATTAATTAATTTTAGAATGAATGATTTTAGAGTGTTGTTTATGTTGTATTTTTGTACTGTTTTATTGTTGTTAGCCGCCCTGAGCCCGACTAAGGCTGGGGAGGGCGGGATAGAAATAAAATTTATTATTATTATTATTATTAGTTCAGGCACCAGGACCTGCCCTTTATCTTCCACTATGAAGACAAACACACACAAAAATTCACCTTCTGTGCAATCGCTTTATCCTCCTTTTCCACACCTCGGATTCCCTTATCATCCAAGGGCCCAACCGCTTCCCTAGCAGATGTCCTGTAGTTGAAGAAATTCTTGCTGTTGGTTTTAGTATTTTTAGCAATGTGCTTCTCAAATTATTTTTAGCATTCTTTATTGTCTGCTTGCATTTATTTTGCCAAAGTTTGTGTTCCTTTTGTTCTCTTTGTTTGGACAAGACTTCTGTTTTTTTAAAGGAGGCCTTCTTGCCTGTAAGAGCTTCATTGGCTCTGCTTGTTGAGCATGCTGGCATCTTCTTGGCCAGGGTGATACCATTTCTGATCTGTGATAAACACCCAGTGGAACTCCCGGCTAAGTGTATATAGGATTGCAGCCATACCTAATTCCAGGCGTGGCAGATTAATAAACCATACTCAAAACTATAAACTATTACACTGACAGCCACTATTAGGAAGCTATAGCTTTTTGGCGGGTGACGCGGGTGGCGCTGTGGGTTAAACCTCAGCGCCTAGGACTTGCCGATCGTATGGTCGGCGGTTTGAATCCCCGCGGCGGGGTGCGCTCCCGCTGCTCGGTCCCAGCGCCTGCCAACCTAGCAGTTCGAAAGCACCCCCGGGTGCAAGTAGATAAATAGGGATCGCTTACCAGCGGGAAGGTAAACGGCGTTTCCGTGTGCTGCGCTGGCTCGCCAGATGCAGCTTGTCACGCTGGCCACGTGACCCGGAAGTGTCTGCGGACAGCGCTGGCTCCCGGCCTCTAGAGTGAGATGGGCGCACAACCCGAGAGTCTGTCAAGACTGGCCCATACGGGCAGGGGTACCTTTACCTTTACTAGCTTTTTGGCTAAATGATTGCATTAAAATATTATATAGATAAAGTGGTATCTTAGGGAAGTACCCTATAACTACACCAACAATAGGTGGAAAACGCAATACTCTTAGCTAGAGGAATTCCACTGGCATAACAATATTTTCTTCATAAACAGGATCTGTTCCTTCGTTACTGTAATTATATGTGAATGCTGCTTCAGTGTGGCCATTCTAGCAACGACAGGCAGTGGAAATATTGAGGGCCAGGAAAATGTCATGCTTCTTTCTTGTGCCAGTGTTGCACTTCCTGGGGCCATGTATATTCCCAGTTTGGGAAGGAACTTGGAGCTCCCCCTTATGAACTGGATCTAAATCTTTGCAGAAATCAGCGGGGTTAGTGTCTCTTGATATAAATTGGTGTCACGATGACTTGTGTTTGTGCTGATTTGTTGGAAACATTTCTCTGGGTGTTTGGGCTGGCATGGTGCACTCCAACCAAGGCACTGCCAATTCCATTCTTGGTCAAGAGCATCCTATGTGTTGGTCCAGTGGTTCTCATCTGTTCTTGGGCAGATGCCTAATCTGTGTATCCTTCATGTTGCTTAGGTTGGTGGTCAGAATGTGGGTGTGCAGTTCCTCTAGTCATAATTTACCACTCCTGGTGTGCAGACTTTCCATGTGCTTGAGGTATTCAGCCTTGGTGATTCAGAAGCTTATACTGAATCTGAAAACTACCCGTCTTTATAAGGCCACAGAAGTTCAGCACTATGGCACCAAGCTGTCAACTCCCAACAAGTGTCCATCTTGCTTCAAATGCCATTAGTCCTTTCTGCCCCACCCACCCCAGTCCCTAGATGTATGCCTCTCTTTATTTTTTCATAGTGAACTGGCTGCTAACTTAAACTCCTGGCTGTCATCCCAGCCTTCAGAATAGAGCCAGGCTGGCTGGGCACACACAGTCTTGAATAAATAAATACAACTTGATTTTAAAAATTATGGAAGTATGAACTATATTTAGCTGCCATGTAGTACACTGATGTAAATTTGCCAGTGTCCAATTCGAAGCTCCTAACTAATAGGTTCTTAATTTGTTCACAAAGGCCTATTATGGATGTTTTCAACTTGTTTTCGTACTTGTGTTGTGTGTGTTTTAGGCTACTTTTACAACACTTCCTATAAAAATATGTTGTATTTTTCTTCCAGGGTGCAGTAAAAAGGCAAATAGAGTTGTATCCAGTTTAAACAAGATAACCTTAACATTGCTCCATGCTTATTTTCAGAATGCTGTTAATGAAATGTTATTGGGACGTTCTGTTATTTTAAACAAGTGTTCTTTCTATAAAAAGTTTTAGAGTCATCAGAAATGAAACATACTTCTGACAGTACAATCCTATACATGCCTACTCAGAAGTAAGTCATACTGAAGTTGCAGTCATATACACCTCACTGAGAATACACTCCACTAAATGGAGTAGGACTTACTTCAGAGTTAATGTGCCAAGGAATGCACTGTGAATGTGTTTATTATACTGTATTCATATTTTATGGGAAATTAAAACGCTGTAGAAAAAGCAAATAGAAAATGAATGAGTTTTGCAATGAGTGGTGATTCCTTCCAGATGGTGTCATGGGGCCTCTAATGGGCCACCCTAAAACTTTCTGGAAGTATCTACCAGTTTAGCTATTTTGGGGGGGGGTAGGACAGGTATCTGGTAGCCACAGACCCATCTACATAGAACTGGGGGTGGTGAGGAACAACACCAACAAGCTCAGAGTCATCTCTCTGTGCAGTGCTTGCAACATAAATGGAAGGAACCCTAAGTACCGTATTTTTCGCTCTATAAGACGCACCAGACCACAAGACGCACCTAGTTTTCGGAGGAGGAAAACAAGAAAAAAAATATTCTGAATCTCAAAAGCCAGAACAGCAAGAGGGATCGCTGCGCAGTGAAAGCACCAATCCCTCTTGATGTTCTGACTTCTGTGATAGCTGCGCAGCCTGCATTCGCTCCGTAAGACGCACACACATTTCCCCTTACTTTTTAGGAGGGCAAAAGTGAGTCTTATAGAGCAAAAAATACGGTATTTTCAGATGTCTCTGTTTTTGCTCATTAGTAGATATCTGTGGCTTCTCACATCAGGGCTAAAAGCAAGATGGATTATTGAGCTTGTATCTTGGAGCCTTCCTCTGTATTTAATCTTGCATCTGATGATGATCCCAAGTCAGAAACTCAAAGAATACAGTGGTACCTTGGAAGTCGAACGGAATCCGTTTGACTTCCAAAACGTTCGGAAACCAAGGTGTGGCTTCTGATTGACTGCAGGAAGCTCCTGCAGCCAATCAGAAGCCATGGAACCCACGTCAGACATTTGGGTTCCAAAGAATGTTTGCAAACCAGAACACTCACTTCTGGGTTTGTGGCGTTCGGGAGCCAAAACGTTCAACTTGCAAGGTGTTCGGGATCCAAGGTACGACTGTATAGCACAGCAGAGACATAGTCATCAGGTTCTGGAACCAACATTGTCTCAGCCTAATCCTGAAACTTAGACTTGTATCTTACTATGTAGAGATAAACAAAACGTGGACTTTATAAAAATGGTTCCAGTTTTCATAAAGAGCAAAAATGGAGAAAGCTTGAATTGCTTTTATCAATGATACATTGCCCAACTTCTGTAATTCCTGGATGTCAGCACTAGTTCAGAATAAACAATTTGGCTAGAATTTGACTTTTTCCTCTCCCCAGAATATCTCGATTTGAGGGTTGGTTAGCATAAAAATTATAGGCTTCATTAAGCACTGGTATTGGTGGAACAATTATATGACCACACAATTCTTCTAAAGCAGCATATTGAACTTGCTTCAGATAATGTGATTTGCGAGACCTTTGTTGATCTTAAAATGTTTCTCATTCTTTATGGGTACCTTCAGAAAGTCCATAAACCAAATGAGGTGGTAAATCTTATTTGAGAAGATCTGAATTTTTTTTACAAAACAATGTGGTTTTTGAAAGTGGAGAACAGAATACATGCCATTCTAAAGGACTGCCAGCAAATGGTCTGGCTTTGGGAATGAGCTGTAGGCGTCAGCCTGAGATGAGCTGGGAGATGTGCTGGGGAATCGGAGCTGAAGAGCAAGGCAGGAATCATTGAGAAGAGCAATTATCAGAAACCAAAATCAAGGAGGAGCCAGGAGTCAGAGCTGTAGGGTGAAGCCAGGAGTCAGGCCCAAAGAGGGACAAATGAGTAGGCAGGCCGAAGGAGCAAGAAGCAAGAGTCCGAATCGAAAGGTCACACAGTAATGCTTCACTGCCCTGGAGGCTAGGACCCGAATCAGTGGATTCAAGTCAAGAAAGGAGATCCCAGCTGAACATCAGGAAGAACTTTTCTGACAGTAAGAGCTGTTTGGCAGTGGAGCAGACTCCCACAGGAGGTGGATGGACTCTCCTTCCTCAGAGGTTCTTAAGCAAAAGTTGAATGGCCATCTGTCATGTATGATCTGGTTTAGATTCCTGCAATCCAAGGGTTGGACTAGATGATCCCTGAGGTCCCTTCCAACTCTACAATTCTATTGTTCTGTGATTCTGTGTAACAGGAAGTCCTTCCTGTCTGGGAGAGTCCATTGGCCAGCCAGGATGGGCAGGGCCAGACTTGAGGATACTTGCTTCCTAGGCAGATGCTGTAACTTGTAGTTCTGTGGCAGCTTAAATGAATCCAAAGGTCCTCTTATTTGAGCTCCTGACAGGGGCACAGTCTGCTTTGGGATCACAGTCTGAATCTGAGACCTACATACAGGATGGGATCAGAAACTGAACTAATGTTCAGAAGAAACTGAAATGTTACCTCCTACTCAAAACACTCCTGTGAAATAACTGTCCCTGAAGAGATTGTCAGGTCTGCTTAGTAGATGAAAGGCCCTGAATACAGAGCATCTCCATACAAGTGTCAATATATGCATCTATGTGTAGACCCTCCATGTGATCAGGAACATACGTGTCATGACCCTAGCATCAAGTAGTGACTAGAGCATGGACTGGGATGGAGGTTTCTAAAAGTCCCAGGGAGTGGACCTTGTGGCAAGGACTTCAGAGCTGTTGGGTAAAGGCCTTGACACCTGTACAGGATCTAATCACCTGACTTCCTGAGACAGCCCCCACCCTGCAAGATATAATTCCCTCTCCCCAAAGAGTGACTGTCGTTATCCCCAAGGACCTCATGAACTGTGCTCCAGCCTGGCCACAACTTGAATGCAGATGGTTAGACTTAGCAGAGGAGTGAAGGAGTATGAATTTCTAGGCCTCGAAAGCTTTCCACATGGCATAGATAGCCAGGCATAGCCGGTGGGATATCCTCCATATGTTGCCACACTACACCTCCCATCATCCGTTATCATTGGCCATGCTGGTTGAGGCTGATGGGAGTTGGAGTCCAATAACATTTTGAAGGCACCAAGTTTGCTACTCCGGAGGAGTTAGTTGAGCACCAGACCTTATTGGAGGAGGTTGCAAACTTAGGGGTGGTTGCTATCCTGGCACTCCAATCCCACCAGCTACTCTGCCTGGCTGATTCAGGATTCTCATTCTTTTCCATAACTAAGGATGTTTGCACCTCCCTGTATCCTCAGGATGTTTGCACCTCCCTGGGCAGGGCACCACGCATGGGAGGCATATTTGAATGCTTGTGACCCCAAGGTTGCACAATGTCACACAAAAACATCCCTCCCCCCCCCAAGCAGCTTCCAAGTGGGGAGTGTTAAGCCATAGGACAGATTAAAAAACACATGACAAGACCTTTTAAAATACTTTAGGAGGGCTCAAAACCACTGCTAGACCTTCAAAGTACAGGGCTACAAGAAGCCTTGAAATATTAAATGCATCACATCTTGGAAGTCTCTGGAAGGGGGGTGAGTTGTGCCTTAAATTATAAAACCTAGTTCAAGGCTGGGATAGATCACATAGCGAGAAAGTTTCGCAATAAGGAAGAACACAGGTGGGATCATAAATCAAGGAAGTAGAAGTGGAATTGGAAGCCAGATCAACATATTAGGGTCATTGGTGCAATCAGGAATCCTGCAAGAGTACAGCACTTCATTTTCTGCCTATAATAGGTAGATTTCTGCTAAGAGCTTTTCCATGCTCCCTCCCTGTTATTTACAAGAAATCTCTGCAAACCAGAAGACAGGAGGAGATGGACTCTCTACTGAACGCACATAACCCTATCTCCTGTTTCCCAGAATCCCTTTATGTCCCAGAGCAGCTGTCAGACAGCACTTTGTACCATGAAAGCAGAATACAGATTTGGCCAGCTCAGTGATACAAATCCATTAGCTCTGCTCCTGGTAAGACAAGATTCTGGACAGAATTGCAGATGAGCTAGTTACATGCCAAGCCAAGGCAGCTTTCAGTTCCGCTGGTTTTAATTGCTTGCTATTTTGAAGCATGAAATCTTGCCAGGATGATTAAAACTGATGATTTACAGCCATCTCACCAGATATCTGACGCTGGTAACATCCAGCATTTACTTGGCATACGTAAGCATTGCACTGAATTAATAGGAGTCATGTGGTCACCACAAGGAGGCAGGGCTCAGGGGCACAGCTGTGACTTAATTGGTTGATTCTAGAGACATCACCTTGCCAACAAAGGTCCGCATAGTAAAAGCTATGGATTTCCCAGTAGTGATGTATGGAAGTGAGAGCTGGACCATAAAGAAGGCTGATCGCCGAAGAATGGGTGCTTTTGAATTATGGTGCTGGAGGAGACTCTTGAGAGTCCCATGGACTGCAAGAAGATCCAACCTATCCATTCTGAAGGAAATCAGCCCTGAGTGCTCACTGGAAGGACAGATCCTGAAGCTGAGGCTCCAATACTTTGGCCACCTCATGAGAAGAGAAGACTCCCTGGAAAAGACCCTGATGTTGGGAAAGATGGAGGGCACAAGGAGAAGGGGACGACAGAGGACAAGATGGTTGGACAGTGTTCTCGAAACTACAAACATGAGTTTGACCAAACTGTGGGAGGCAGTGGAAGACAGAAGTGCCTGGCGTGCTCTGGTCCAGGGGGTCACGAAGAGTCGGACATGACTAAACGACTAAATGACAAAACAACAACAACAAAGGCTGCAGATCTGGGCCTGCTCTCCCATTGCTTCATTCTAGGTGTCATAGTTTCATTTTAGGCTATTTGACTTGGTCGCAGTCGAGTTTTCTGTACCATGCAGAGCTCCATACTACAGTGGCACCTTGCAGATATTGTGGGCAAGGATGCCCAGACTCCATTTCTCTCTATCACTAGCCAAGAGTATCAGAACAATTTCTACCCAGGATCTGCCAGGCAAATTGCAGAACTGCGACTCATCTTCAGATGGAAAGTTAAGCAAAATGCAATTCTGCAGAATAACATGAAGGGACACAGATTGAGGTGGGGGAGTGGGAAAATGTCACCAACTCTACATGTTCACAATCTGGAAAATATTTTCCATTATTTGCTGAGAGATGTATTTCTTGTAACTTGCTAGTAATCTGTTGTGTACACTGTTTGGGACTATCCATAAAAAGGTCATTCCAATCACTATTCCCCCCCCCCCATGTAAAACAATTGGGCAGGGGTGGGTGGGTTGGTCCAAAATGAAATAGTTATCAGCTCTGGATATTTTGGGGAACAGTATTGTTTGCTCATTTTTTTCATATAAACCACCTCTGTAAAATGTTAAAAAAGACAGACTATAGATGGCATTAATTTCTGCTTTGGGTGTGTCAGCACATTGCAAATAAGAGGCGATTTATAGTTAGCAGGGCCGGCCCAAGACATTTTAGCACCTGGGGAAAAATGGTGCCTCCTTCCCCGCCAGGGAAGAAGGAGTGAGTGAAGATTTGCAACAGCAACAAGGGGGCAATAAAGATCTGCTTCAGGGATCTGCTGCCTCTGTGGATCCTGTCACCTGAGGCAGTCGCCTCGCCTTGCCTCATGGATGGGCTGGCCCTGATAATTGGCCTCAGGGCCACTCAACATCTTGCTAATTCACTGTGTGAATTAAAACCGTCGTGCACCAAGCTTCAAAATACTGTTTTAATTTTTTTGCAGGAGACACAACCCTTGAAACAAAAACAGGAAACATCACAGTAGGTAAGTTGAAGGGTGTTTGTTTGTTTGTTTTTACCTGTGCAGATGTCAGGTGTGGGCAGCTTTTCAGCCCTGGGCAACTTTTAATTGTGTAGCTGCTGAACTATTATCATTATTATCATTTATTATCATTATTATTATTATTATTATTATTATTATTATTATTATTATTTCATAAACAACATCAGGTATGGAGCAGGTAAAAACCCAGCTCAGCCAAAAGCATGATCAGGGGAGCCTGAAAAGCTCCTTCAAAACTCTTTTCTGAAGCTTTCCTCCGCTCACCTTAGACGTTCCCGAGGTCCACTGAAATCAGTGGTGCGAAAGAGAGTTAGATATTCAAGTTCCTTAGATTACAGCATGACTGACTCCTGCTGTGTTGTGTCTGTTAAGTCTTTAACACTGTGGTTTGGAACTCTCTTGGAACAGTCGTGAACTTATATATATTGTCTTATAAGATACAGCATAAATTAAAAGTTTAAGAACATCTCATAAAAGGAGATGTACTTAAATGAATGCATTTTTGTCTTGGCATGTAGCGACCATATATGCATCTAAAGAGTGCAATCAATAGGAAGACAAAGCATTGCGACTCAGAGTCAAAAAATGAAAGACGATCCTTGTGTAATATACATTCCAGACATCTGGTGTGTAACAAGACACTCAACGATAATTCTATCCAGATTGTTCAACCTCATGCAGGCAATAATTTCCATTCAGCTGGGCTATCAAAATGAATTTGTAATACTTTTTCCAGCCTTGATGGCATGTATTTCATTCAGCATCAATGCCTGCTATTTTTACCCAGGACACCTAATGAATAGGGACCTTGAATTTGTGCTTTGCATCCTGGCCACTAACAAAATGTATATGCTGCCCCTGGCAAGATTTGCCCTAAATTCAGATTTAATAATTTATAAAACCTGCAAGGTAATCCCACTGGAATGAATAAAGTCTTGGGAGGCTGAAAATCCATAATTTTCCTTATTTTATTGATCATTAAATTGGGGTGGGGGAGGTTCTCTCTGATTGGCTGGGGGTTATGACATCACAATAAAGTAAGTTAGACCCCTTAAAACTTCGTTGACTACCATCTTGAAGACCCAATATTTGTTGAAGGTAGGTAGAAGCTGGACTTGCTTGGGGGTGGGAATAATCCCAGCAACCCACACAGCGTAGTCATTTTTAAAGGCAGGTATGAAGACACTGTTCTTTGTGGTGCTTCATGCTTGTGTCTGCTTGTGAGCTCCATATGATGTCTCATCGCTCCCTTAGCAGAGAGATTATCTCTTCACTCGTTGGAGGTGCACAATTGTGCCGTATCTTCTTTGGGCACACAATTGTATAAAGCTAAAGGTAAAGGGACCCCTGACCATTAGGTCCAGTCGTGGCCGACTCTGGGGTTGCGGCGCTCATCTCGCTTTATTGGGCGAGGGAGCTGGCGTACAGCTTCCGGGTCACGTGGCCAGCATGACTAAGCCACTTCTGGCGAACCAGAGCAGTGCACGGAAACACCATTTACCTTCCCACTGGAGTGGTACCTATTTATCTACTTGCACTTTGACGTACTTTTGAACTACTAGGTTGGCAGGAGCTGGGACCGAGCTCACCCAATTCGAACCGCCGACCTTCTGATTGGCAAGTCCTAGGCTCTGTGGTTTAACCCACAGTGCCACCTGCAGCCCTAACAATTGTATATAAGCATTTAAAAAGAAGAAGGCAGTAGAGGAGTTTCCCAGGAACAACACTTTCCCCTGGGCCCTTCTGTACAACCACTCAAAACAGCCACTGAAGTAATAACATTTGATGCGGGGGCATTTTCTCCTCAAGAAAGCTTCTCTTTTACTTCATCTCCTATATCAGCTTTGATTTTGAATATCAGAAATCAGACTGGGGAAATGGCTTCTTGAAAGAGGTAGAAAACTTCCCACTCCCTGGTAAATATCCTGCTTTAAAGACCAAACACAATTTCTTGTAACATTTTCATGGCAGAAATGGCGTATCTGGGGGTGGGGGTGGGGATTGATTGTCAGGACTGTATATTCCCTGCTGAGATGCAAAACATTCCAAATTTTCATAAAGTGTTTCATTCTGTGCTGACTTCATGGCTGTGGTTTATATTCTGTTCTTGTATCAGTTTCCCAGACTTAGTGAGGTTCACATGGCTCACTGCTCTGTAGAATATTTGCCAAGCTCTCAAATAATGTGATCCAGAAGGACACTCACGTCAGATTGGCTCTCCCCCCTACACACACTTTCAGCAACTTTCCTCTCAGTTTGTGAACCCAGAATCTCCAGAGTTTTTTTTTTAGGTTTTTTTTAAGCAGATCAGTGTGGTTGTTGGGTGTCCTGGCAGTGACTGAAAGCGAAATGGAAAACTTTGGCACAAAAATAATGCTAAGAAGAAAGCCCAAAGTGTGTTTTGTGTTTCTAATTTATGATTTATGGATCCTGCTGCCTTTAAAAAAATATATTCTGGGTGATAAATATGCAAACCTGTGAGTGAGCAATTAGCGGTGAATAGTAAGATAGCCAAATTTGCTGCTGACACCATTTTTTTCAGGACAGGAACAAAAAAAGATTGCAAAGAGCTCTAAAAGCATCACTCCAAACTTGGTGAATGGGCATTAGATGTGATTCAGTGTAAGCAAGTGTAAAGTAATGGACGTTTGGGGCAAAACCCTGAACTTCACTTATGTGCTAATGGGATCTGAACTGGTGATGGAGACTAGGGAAGCTCAGTCGGCGTGAGACTCTTAATCTCGGGCCCCACGCTGGGCAAAAGATTCATGCATTTTAGGGGGTTGGACTAGATGACTCTGGGGGTCCCTTCCAACTTTACAATTTTATGAAATAAAAAAGGAATTTGATGAATTCACATGGACAGAAACAGGGTCCAATCATGCCGGTCAAGAAAGGCCTGGGCAAAAAGATAAAGTCTTTATAAGATGTCTGATGCAGCTGATGAATGCCATTTATTGTAGAGGGAAGGGCATCCCATAATAGAGGAGTGAGAGCAGGAAATGCCTGTTTTATGGTCACCGCTCTATAGCAGTTTGTAAGGTACAGCACTATAAGTAGAATTTCTGCAGATGTTCTTAGTGATCTTACAGGCAGTAGAGAGGTAAAGGTAAAGGTAAAGGGATCCCTGACTATTAGGTCCAGTCGTGGCCGACTTTGGGGTTGCGGCGCTCATGTCACTTTATTGGCCAAGGGAGCCGGCGTACAGCTTCCGGGTCATGTGGCCAGCAGGACTAAGCCACTTCTGGCGAACCAGAGCAGCACACGGAAACGCTGTTTACCTTCCCGCTGGAGCGGTACCTATTTATCTACTTGCACTTTGACGTGCTTTCATACTGCTGGGTTGGCAAGAGCAGGGACCAAGCAATGGGAGCTCACCCCGTCGTGCAGATTTGAACCACCGACCTTCTGATCGGCAAGCCCTAGGCTCTGTGGTTTAACCCACAGCGCCACCCGCGTCCCAACAGTAGAGAGAGGGGCAGGCAAAATGCAACTCTTTGGAGGAACATCTGGATCCCAATGCAAATCAGAAATAAAACACAGAGGGAGAGAGGTGGGTCCTTCTCATTAGCATACTCCAGCTGCAATTTCCAGCATGGCTCACTTCCTTGAGACTCTTTTGTAACCCTGCTCTTGCCCACAGGTAGAAGTGAGGGGCCACATGGGGTGGGGGCGGCAAGAGTTATTGGAAACACGAAACTGTTATAGCCCAGTTCTCAAGAGCAGCAACAGCTTTTCAGATTCCTAGAGCCTGGAACTCATATCTTTATTACCTCACAGTGTGATTCAGTAAGTCCCAGCGCTGTTTCTGACCACTAATGTGCCCAGTTGCCAGCATTGTTCTCCCCGCCCCCTGGCCAGCATCTGAATCAGTTCAACAGCTGTGGCTGTTAAAACAAAAAACAAAAGCCCTGCTCTCGCCAAAGGTTTGCAAGATCATGCTGAGAAACTCTGGCCATATTAAACTGATTTGCTACACTTGATTTCCTCTTAATTCGATGACTGCTGCATCTGATGTGTCTCACCAGTGGAAACAGGGAATCAGGAAGAAACAGATCAACTGGAATCCTATTTATGATTGGGAAAGGAGTCCTCTTTCTCATTATTCTGAGTGCTCAACTCATACATTGGTCTCTTTCCTTAGCATAAAAAGGTAAAGGTAAAGGTACCCCTGCCCGTACAGGCCAGTCTTGACAGACTCTGGGGTTGTGCGCCCATCTCACTCTAGAGGCCGGGAGCCAGCGCTGTCCGGAGACACTTCCGGGTCACGTGGCCAGCGTGACATCGCTGCTCTGGTGAGCCAGAGCCGCACACGGAAACGCCGTTTACCTTCCCGCTAGTAAGCGGTCCCTATTTATCTACTTGCACCCGGAGGTGCTTTCGAACTGCTAGGTTGGCAGGCGCTGGGACCGAACGACGGGAGCGCACCCCGCCGCGGGGATTCGAACCGCCGACCTTTCGATCGGCAAGCCCTAGGCGCTGAGGCTTTTATCCACAGCGCCACCCGCGTCCCATCTCCTTAGCATATCAAACCCTAAATAGCTCTTCATCAGAGAATCCTAAGCTTCCTTACCAACTTAAATGTAATTCATCTTAAAGGCTGCTGTGATTAAAAATCCAAAAACAACCGCTGCAAGTGGTCTGCAGATTATTTCCCCCTCTTCTCCATAAACCTTAGCTTCCTTTGTTACAACTTAGAAAGCTGAACAGAAATGGGCTTTGCATCAGTTGTGTGTTTAGCCCCAGAAATCTGTCTTTCATAAACTGAAGCAAATCTATCAGAACTGTTCCTTCCACTTCATCTTCTGTGCTCGTCAAAACCAAGTTTGCTGAAATATCTCAGGAGCACCACATCGTTTATCACAGCCATCTGCACCTTTTAGTTTTGCTCTCTGCCTTCCCTAGAGGGCCGCCCTAAAAACGGTTGAATTTAAGTTTGTCTCATTTTATTCACAATCAATGCAATGCAGCTAAGCTTAGTT